AAAAAAAAAAAAAGGCCAGCTCTGGTCTGGCCCAGCACTATGGGGATTCTGAGGTGTTTGGGACGCAATCTTGGGAACTCAGGAACCTTTGGACGGCCACCCCTTGGGTCCCACTCACTTGCCCCTGCATTCTGCCCACAGAAGTCCCCTGGAGACTACAGCAACTTTGACCAGGAGTTCCTGAACGAGAAGGCACGCCTCTCCTACACCGACAAGAACCTCATCGACTCCATGGACCAAACTGCATTTGCTGGCTTCTCCTTCGTGAACCCCAAATTTGAGAGACTCCTGGAAAAGTGAGACTTCCAGACATGCTCCCCCAACCCTCCCCAGCTGAGGAGCCTGCGTCAGCCAGCATGGCCTGCCCATCCAGCCCGAGGCAGAGCAGACTGGGCGTCCCCCTTCATCGGTACCTGCCCCCCCCCAACAATGAGCAACAGTGTGATTGTCTGATTTCTGCTGCTGCCACCCCCTTACCTCCAGGAGGGGCCTCAGCTCCTGTCTGGCTGGGCTCTTATGGTACTTCTGTGAACTATGTGTGAATTTGCTTTTCCTCTGCCATCAGAGGGAAATTGTAAATCCTGTGTTTCATTACTTGAATGTAGTTATCTATTGAAAAAATATATTATACACACACACACATATATATATATATAATAGGCTGTATATATTGCTCAGTATAGAAGAAACATATGAGGGACTGGTGATCTATTGATTTTTTAAAATATATATGTATATATATACACATATATACACAGATACATGTATGTGACCACAAAAAACAAAAAAGAGCACAAGCTGTTTGAACCACCAGGTTCTTTTATCTGTGTGTCTGAATAAACACCAAATGGTACTGACCTGGCTGTCGGGACACATTTGTCCCAGGAACGCTGGTGGCCGCTGCTCCCACTTCTGGAAGCTCTATCCCGGAAGCTAACTGAGCTGTTAGCTGCAGAAACAGACGCCTGGGTTTTCATGCAAATGTGTTTGTATTTATGGGTTTCCTGGGCCTAAAGCAGAAACCTTTTTTCTGGGTGGCTGAAGGGAGTCCTGAATGTGTCTGTGGGGCGATGGGAGGAGGTGGGACCCACCACAGGCTGTGTTAGGAGAGTGAGGGCCAGTCTGGAAGAGCAGAGAGACATGAGCAAAGGCTTGGAGGCTGGCCCGGACTGGGGAGGACAGAGAAGAGGAAGGAAATAGGGCTGAGGCTTCAGGCCCATCTAGATTCAAATCCCAGCGTAGCCAAAAGACATGGGCCTATCACTTAATCATCTTAAGGCTCAGCTTCCTCAACTGTAAAATGGGGACAAGGCGAGGTGATAACTAGATGGAACTCTGTATCTCATCGCTATTTTTCCCTGTCCCTGCCACAGAGAAGTCTGTGTTAGAGTTCTAGAATCTACTTCTCAAGAGTCCTTGCCTGCCTGGGGAAGGGGAGGGGAGCAGGATGGGAGAAGAAGGACGAGAACATGCTGAGCAGCTGCATCGGGGTTGAGCACCGCGCTCCAGTGTGCCTGCGGTGTAGTGAGGATACTGGCTCCGAGAGACAAAGGTGGCGACCGGTGACCCCTGAGCATGGGCAGCTCTCCCTTACCGCCACCTCGGTGTTTCCCTCCCTCTGGCTTCCCATTTCTTCCTCTCAGCCTCTTTCCCTACTCCTCCCCCCTTCTCTACCACCCCCC